GGGAGCTTAACACCTTTCAACGGGATTTTTCTAAAAAAGTTTGTTTTAAAAAACGTACAGTTACTTCTCTTTGATTTTTCGACACGTTAAACTTTCATCCTTGCGACTACTTTACAAAATGAATTTTGGAAAAATGATATTTTGTATTTTTAAAGAATTTTTTAAATGAAGCTTTCGAGTACGCTTCTCACATCTTTAAAAATGTGATTTTGTAAACAATTTTCCTTTCCTATTGTTGCTGATAGATTTTTGATGAAATCGCATCATTTTGAATAGTTTCATCTTTTTCGAAATATGGGTTTGGCAACAATTTTTCATCGTAATTCTTGTGTCACTGTTTTTAAGAGATTGGCATATTTCATTGTCATTTATATATATATATAATACATTTTTATTTATTTATTTATTTGATAAAGTTGTTCTGCAGAGAAATTCTGCGCAGAATTTTATGTTTTTTGACTTGCTTTCATGTTATTTTTTTGCTTATTTCAGTGTTTGTAAGATATTGAAAAGTTTTGCATGATTTTTTTTTTCTTCAACGGAAAGTTGATTAATTTTTTTATTAGGATAATTAATATTTGTATTAAAGGATATAGCTTATTTCATTGTAATTTTTTTTTTCTTGAAAATATAAGATAAAATATCATTAAGTATACTTTGCTTCTCAGAATTTTTTGTATTCTTTTATGCTATTTATTGCTCATTTCACTGTTTTTAAGATACTGAAAAGTTTTGAGTGATTTTTTTAGGAAACCAAAGTTCTTAACCTCCTTTATACCATTTGAGTTCTTAAGATTTTGCAAAGGGAAGTTGGTTAATTTATTTATTAGGATAATTAATATTTGTATTAAGGGATATTGCTTATTTCATTGTAATTTTGTTATATGTAATAACTTTTTTTATGAAGTTGTTCTGCAGAGTAAAATTCTACGCAGTTTTTAAATTTAATGTTTGGTGTTTCCTTCAACCATTTTTCCAGTACATTTAAAAGCCAGACGAAGGCTGGCAGCGAAGCTGCTAGTATAGAACATAAATGTTTCATGAGTTAAGATAAAAGGCTCTGTTTGCTTAAATTACTTAAGTAAACAGAGCCTTTTACTTAAGTTATAATATACTTTAAGTAAATGGAGATGTAGTTATTGCTTCCATTGTTAAAAATAGGTATAAGAAAAATTTAGTAATATCTGCACCTGTGAGCAGTTTAATTGACAATTCTCAAAATAATACTGCAAAATATAAGCTTGAAGCTCTCCCAAAATAAAAATATCGCTTGACAAGGGACGCATTTTCTGATTATTGTAAGTTTATCTTGTAAAGAAGGAATATTTAAGTTTTTGTCTTCGAAACTTATGAAAGCTTTTTTTTTTTTTTTCAATATTCTTAAAACAATTCCACAGTGCAGAATTACATTAATTCATGTTTTGCAATCAATGATTAGTGATTAGGTTAAAGTATTTAATGATTAGGGAAACTGATTGGAGTATTCTTCTGTTATTAGAATTTATAAGTATTAAAACTTTTTTTTTTTTAACTTGTAAGTATTTTTGCATTTATTTGCATTTAAGAAACAGCAACTGAACTTTCAGACATTAATTAGTTACTATTTAAAGTTAATTGCATCATTAAAAAAACTTTTTTCCTCCTACATATTTTTATTATTTAAAAAATATTTTTGTCATTGATAAAGTTCTCGTGATTTCTTTAAAAAAAATCTCTTGATTTTTTAGCATCATAGGTTGGCAAGTATGCTAGTGGTACAAAAGTCAGAATATTGGGCATTCAGATTTGGGACTTTATTCTATTGTTGCATGTATAGGTTCGTAATAGATTGAATGCACAAATCCAACAATAGGTCAATAAACATTTATTTTTATCAGAAGAAATATTTCAGAACTCTGGAATTTTCCACAAAATATTTATACAAGTGTTCAGGTATCACACATTATAATTAGTAGTTACACTTTGAACTACTAAAGACATTAAACACAATGCAATGCAAAGTGCATCTAAAGGGAAAGCTAACTCAATTTATCTCGTTTCACGTGGAAATACAACTGACAACAACAATAACCAAGTAACAGAGAGCAGATTCTCTCTCTTTGGCCTTAAATAGTTTTCAACTGGCCACAAGATATTTCTAGTACTTTCTGCTTCTTGAAATAACTGGAAAGCAATATGAGAGTGGAATTAACAATTACAACTAACATAATTGTCAATTATATGTATTCACTTGTCGAACTTACTACAGTGATACAGAGACCGGACCAAAATATCGCCAAATGGTCTCTAAATTTGGCAACAGAATATCGCCAAAACCAATGTCAGCTAGGGGATGTATCGCCAAATTACCAAGATACCCATTTACCCAATATTAAATGCACTTGCCCCTGTATTCTTACTTTTCTGGCATAGCTTTCTCTTAAAATTTGACTCTCACTACATTATGCAGAAAAATATGACAATTTCACTTATAATTCTATTAAAACTACTATCTAACTACGAAATTCGTAACATTATGTTTTGATTTTATTCTTACTCTTGCACTGCATTATTTTCAACTTACTCTACTTTTTAGAAATATTTCAAGTAATTTGTTATATTTCAGCAAAATAAATTGCAATGAAATATTACTCTAAAATAGTTATTATGAAGATTTTTATTTATTGAATGTATAGGCTTTTGAATCTGATATATGTAACACATTCACTACCGAAGCTGCTTTCGTTCTTCTGTTCACATGCAGCAAGATCCTATTTAAATTTTTGATGCTTTTAAATTATTTTATGTTGTTTTGTTATTTAAGTATAGATGTAATAGATTACTTTTAGTAGTAAATAAATTCACATGACTATACTATCAGTTGGCATTTGTACAAGTGAAGTAGTATTTTTGCTCCCTGTTTTGAAGTAGTATTTTTGCTCCCTGTTCTGAAGTAGTATTTTTGCTCCCTGTTCCAACTCTGAGAAGAACTAAATGAAAGTTCAGCACCTTGGGCTCATGCAAAACTCCTTCACATATGATATGTTATTTCCTATTAATCTTACATGAGTCAGTGAGCATGAATTTAAACATTTCATTTATAATGTTTCCCAAGTGAATAAAAATAATAATAAAAAAGATTTTGCATTTAGTTATTGTATCTGTGTTTGAGAAGTAAATGATATATTTCAGTACATCGGGTGTATTATTTAGTATCTTCCTGTATGACAAATACCTAAACTTTGCGTGCATTTGCTACAGCGATACTCATACTTGGTAAAGCAATCAATAACAAGTTAGTTATCTTGTAGCTGGCAAGTAAGTTACCGACTATGAATGTTTTTATAAATTACAACGAACATGTTAAGAATTTGCTTTTTAACTTCACTTTTAAACTTTTAATTCCACTGATGCATAAACTTTTATATGTGAATGCTTTCAGTGCATCTGCCTCCCTTAATTAATTTTATAAAATAGACTGTTTAACTTGTGTTCACCTGTTCAGCTGAAAGAGCTTTAAGGTATATATTTCATGTTTCCTGTAATAGTTTTTGCTGTGGGTACACATTATAACTAGTATGCAGTAATTCTTTTCACATCAGAAATATATATTTTTCATTTTCAATTTTCAATTTTTTCACTTTCAAATAATAGTTATTCCAAATTAGCATTTTTGTTTTGATGCAAGTATAGTGTTGCATGCTGTCTGTAGAGGTAATGCAATGCGTATGAGTAAAGGATAATAAAATGCTCTAAAATTTAATATGTTTAATAAAAATATGAATAATGGTATATGTTGGACCACCAGCGGCCGAGCGGTGAAAACCGCCGAACACTGGTAGTTCGGTCCAGAGTTCGAATCCCGGTGAACAGGCTGGCTGCATGGGCGTTTTTTTGGTTTTGCCCATGTGTAACATGGATATGAGCCGGTTGCCCTTCAAAAAGACCTCCGCAGGGCATCCCTCCCTTTCCGTGTAGTGCCTAAGGGCGGAGCATGTAATAAGAAAGAAAGAAATGGTATATGTTAATTTAACTGTGCAATCACTAAGAACTAAAGGTCTTGCAAAGTGTAAATAAAAAAATAATATTAAAAAACTTGTATTTATTTCCTAGATTATGTGAAAGCTAACTTTTATTTACTTGAAATCTCTCAAACCATATATGTGTGGGGATGTGCTATTGATTTTAGCATCTTGATACTGTCTTTTAAGGATATCTGATTTATCTATAACATATGTGGCATAGTTAGCATTATAAAGCCTGTTTATTGACTAGAAGCATGCCAGAATACAGTTTACAGCATTTTCTTTGCAGAAATTGTTTTCTGAGACCTTTTATTTTATAAACTCAAAATATAATAATGTATAAACTTTAAAATTATAAGCTTATAATATTTTTTTTATTTTTATTTTCTTTCATTTTAAAACTTTATATCTCTGGACTGACTGTAATTTAGGGATCAAGATCTTGTGCACGTGATACCATTGAAATAAATCATAGTTATATTTCATCTTTACAGGTCACTGCTAAGTAATGCGTCTAAAATTAGCCCTTAAAGTTGACTAAATCCTTCTGCAAATGACTGCAATTATTTCTATGCTGACCGTATTTTCTATGCTTCATATGAAACAAGCATTGCTTGCTTGTCTAATAGTTTTTCTGTTCAGTTATTGCATAATAGGTAAAAAAAAAAAAAAATTATGTTTAGAAAAGTCATAATTATCTATTTGCATAAGGTAAGATCAAGCTTCAGCATATAGAAATAAAATGGAAAAAAGAATTCAGAGACATGAAACTTTTTGGCAACAGATGTTTCTTTAATTTTAAGTGGAAGTAAAGAGGGAAGGAGTGATATTGAGACCTCTTTTAAATTAACAGTATGGCTGATGCTGCATATGGAATAATAATCAACAATTATACAGTTATATTTTGTATGCTTTCTTGGTTAATCAGACATAAGTTTAATTGTGTGTATTTATAACTGCATAATAAAAACTAAGATAATGTAATTTGTTTTGCAGTTAGCATTTACCATAGTGCTGAAACTCTTTCTCTTGCCTCAAATGCAAGTAATGCTCATAGATTGTATCCACCTCTATCTGAAAAAACTAGTGGAAAGAAAGTACCTATGATGACTTCGAATAAACTCAACAGTACAATATATCCTACTGTGGACACTCTAGTTCTGCGTAGCACTGGGAAATACACAAATAAGACTGAGTGTATAAAGTTAGATAGCTTATTTTCAAGTCAAACAGATAAAATTGATAGTGCTTCTATAATGTCTGTTGTAAGTAAATGAAATTTTAACTTAATAAATCCATCTTCTTATTTTATCTTTTTTCTTCATACTTTTTATATTTTATAGATTAAGATATGGAATATTTATATAATTTGTAGGTGACAATTTAATTGTGGTTGGATTACTTTTGTCTTGATGTCTTATTTTTTATTAACAGGATACCAGTCACCAGATGTGGTAGCCTGTTTATATCATGTCATGAATAGCTGTGCAAAGGTACTATGCACAATGCCAATGTCTAATTTGTGGAATTCTGTGATTTTTTTCATAAGTGAAAACATATATTTGTATACATGGGAAGAAACACTATTCTGTCTGAACTGTTTTTAGGGAGAACACTTCACCCCATGTAGACAGTGGGCTATTTCACTTAAAAGATATCAGAGAATTGCATAAATTTGGCATAAAACACAGCTTTGGCATTGTGCACATTAAACACTGTTATTGCAAAATCATTTTATTCCCTTGAAACTTAACATATTGTTAGAATTGCTGCCATCTAATTAAATTTTTCACTAATATTTATGTTTGAATGTAAGTGAAGCTCTGTGAACAGAAAAGTATCCATTCATCTCCATAAGCAATAAGCAATATGATTTTAAAAAATTTCATTATACCAATAATGTAAGTATTCATAAAATCATTTCTTTGACATATATACAGAGTATTCATAAACAATTTATTAATTTTACTATCTATTAAATATCCATAAATATGAATTATTTAATATAAATAATAGTTATTGCTACATGGTATGTGTATCGACCAAAATACTTTATCTCAAGAAACCTTTCATGCTATTTTATATCATTAATTAAAAGAAAAAGCATGAAAATTATAATTGTCCCTAGAGATGCTTTACTTGAGCTCTCTTGGTAATTCATTAAACATGCAGTAACTTGCTTGATTTGTCTTCTTAAGGTGTTAGTGTAAATTTTTCCATTGCTAATAGTATTTCCTACCTTCATTGCGTCAGTTGGAGAAGATGGCTGATACACTTTAATCGAATTGCATAAAATGTTTTTGTTTGGGAGATATCAGATGATCAAGGTTATGTTCAATTTAATCTTTTATCTCTACCAAATCGTTAATTTAATAGTGGGTCAAACAGAAATTTGTAGACACTTCAGTGAAAAAACAGTTGCTAACATTAGAAGGGAGTACTTTTATGTAAGTTGTATTAATCAGTTTATAAGTTATTTTCTTCCTCCTTCCAGCATGCCTTTGTAGTGTAGCACACTCCCCATATTTTTTAGAGGTCCAGGTTTGAGTCCTTCCAAGAACAGTTCACATTTTTCACATTCCTGCATTGATATAACCTAAGTAGAAGCCCGGCGGTCATATGAAATGACTGCTGTTCTAGATATTATAAATTGTAATTAAAATGATTTGTGCAAAGGTGTCTGCTAATTCAAACTGAATTACCCAGGGCAGGCGGCGAGGATGCCCCTTTGCTAACTGCCCCACGGGGTTTCCCCCTTCCACTTGCTTACTTGCTTAAAGTAGAATGTAATGAAAGAAACCACTGGCAGTGCATTTCTTAAGAGCCACTGCTAGCTCAATAAATAAAGGTGATTTAAATAATAAAATGTTAATTCATATGTCGAAGATCTCTTTGTGTTTGCAACATTTCTTGTGTAGATCTTTACATCATTTTTAAGCTTGCCTTGCAGAGGACCATCAATTATTTTTTAATTTAAGTCCATTCTTTCATGAACTCTTGAACAGGCAACATAAAGTTGAGCGTGTCCAAATGCAGGCTCAGGTAAAAAAATGCCAACATGCTTAAGCATTTGGCCCTGAGACTTATTGATGGTCATAGCAAAGTTTTACAGGAAATTGTCTACGTCTTAATTGAAACGGCAACCCTGTGCCGTGGCAACTTCATCCCATTGGCTAATACAGTTACGCAAGCAACCAATAAATATTCGGCGAAACAACAAACACTTAAGCCGCATATAATAAAGATATTTAGTTATTTCATTTTATTTGTTTTTCATCGTTTTCGTTTTGGTTTTTGCCGTTTGCATATTTCTGAATTTTATTATATTAAATTTATTTATTAAATGTTAAATGCACATTCGTCACGCGCTGCACTGCACGGGAAATAAAACAATTTACAGTTACGCAAGCACCAATAAACTATTGGCGATAAACAGATGTTAAATTTATTTTTTAAATGTTAAATGCACGTGATCTTGTAATTTTTAATTTTTGTGGCTTAGCTTTCTCATAATATTCGTCACGCGCTACAGTGCACGGGGAATAAAACAATTTGCAGTTACGCAAGCAACCAATAAACTATTGGCGACAAACACTTAAGCCGCATATATGTAAGATGACTCTAAAAATGTAAAAGGTGGTGGACAAAAATTCGTCACCACGAGGATTTGGCGACTAAGATCCCTAATACCCAGTCTCTCTTTAAAAGAAGGAGTGTATAAGGTATTTTCTCTTTCCTTCCAACATGCCATCATGGTGTAACAACAGCACATTCGACTCATCTTCAAGAGGTCCGGAAAGGGGGAAAAAAAGGTGTTTTGTGCCTAAAAACAGTTTTTGTTCAAACTCTTTCATGTGGTAAGACAGGAAGAGAATGTGCAAAATGAAGTAGAAGTTGATCTGTCAGCACTATCCTTATCTTCAGGGCAGATGTTCTTATTTTATTCGGCTTATAATTCCTTACTAAATGTAGTATTTCATCTTGATGTACTCCGTCTTTGATATGATTTAAATCAAATTCCTCGTCATTATAAATATCACGAATACACATCAAATAGTTTTCTGGTTGCAATTTTCTAATTTCAACTTTGCGTAATGTATGCTTTACGCATGCGCGCATTGAAAAAAATGTTTAATAAAATAAACAAATATTAAGCTTTTTTTTTTTTTTTTTTTTTTTTTGAAAATTTTGATACTCTTTAGATCATAATTGCTCTTTATTTCATAAATTACGATTTCATATTTTTAATTTTATAATTTCTGCATGCCATCTTGCCAGATTTAAACTGATGATCTATAATCTGGAATCGTCGAAATCCTGACGAGTCCGGATTAAAGACTTTTGACTGTGTATATTTCAAATGCAAGAAATAATTTACTTGCTATTGTTTTCATAATAAAATAGCTTATTCAGAATCTTTTGTATTACTGTTGAATGTGTATCATTTGTATCCTTAAACAGTATTGGTGAGGAAGGCAATATATGTGTTACACATATTTATTTTTAAAGAAATTTTTATAATTAAACAAAAGAAAGATTTTTCAAGAAAGTTATGACTAAACTAAATTGCTTGCATTTCTGTAATAATGTATGTATAGCTATGAATGTTGAAAAAAATTGCATAAGTAAATGTTCTATAAATAATTATAGCAGTTGAGTTTTATAAAACTACACTCATGTCCATAAATTAAGGATAATGCAAAATCAGGCAAAGGAAGAGTTAGAAGCAAAACAAATTTGACTTATTTGTAAAGCTTATTTATTAAACAAAAGGTAAAAGAAGAAAAAAAGATGCTATATGTTTGATTATATTAAAAAAATTAGCGATTTTTTTTCTTCCTGGAGCAAATTACAAAAAAAAACCTATTTACAAAAAACCAATATTACATTCAAAATCGTAAAAAACAACCTTATATTTAGCGTAGGTATAATGAAACACTCAATCGATTTCGAGGGCAGCTAAAGGTCCCTCCTCTTCAGGAGAAAGAAATACATAGAAAGAAGAAAATAGGAATCACAGAAACACGTGCTTATCAGCACTGCATGTGGATATAACTAGATTTTTAATCAGAGTTGCACTGGCCGCCTACTTTTACTGAGCCAGGCTGTCTGATCAAGCATAAAGAAATATTAGCGAAGTTAAAATAGGGAGCGAGGGGCAAATGCACATTACGCTCAAAATCTGAACTTCAAATAAAAAAAAAAAAAAAAAAACTGACCGTAATGTGCATTTGCCCCTCGCTCCCTATTTTAACTTCGCTAATATTTCTTTATGCTTGATCAGACAGCCTGGCTCATTAAAAGTAGGCGGCCAGTGCAACTCTGATTAAAAATCTAGTTATATCCACGTGCAGTGGTGATAAGCACCACGTGTTTCTGTGATTCCTATTTTCTTCTTTCTATGTATTTCTTTCTCCTGATGAGGAGGGACCTTTAGCTGCCCTCGAAATCGATTGAGTGTTTCATTATACCTACGCTAAATATAGGTTGTTTTTTACGATTTTGATTGTCACATTAGCGTGTTTCTCTTCTAGTCCAATATTACATGTTTGGTATGATTGTTAATACATTGTATGTCTCCCAGATGATGCAATACAGTCCATACAATGCCTAGGCATTGTGAGTATCAAATTATCAATCAAATCTTGGGGGATATTACACCACTCAAAATGCAATGCTCTCCGAAGTTCCGGTAGACATCTAGGAGGAGGTTGATGGGCTGCAACTCGTCGGCCAAGCATGTCCCATACGTGCTCTACTGGATTCAAGTCCGGTGAGAATGCTGGCCAGTCCATACGGGTGATATCCTCCGATTGAAGGCATTCGCTTACGATGTTTGCACGGTGAGGACGGGCTTTGTCATCCATAAACACAAATTGTGTGCCCATGGCGGCCCGAAACAAAAGTACATGTTGTTCCAGAATGACGTCCCGATAGATTTGGCTTGTCATGGTTCCAATTTGAACATGCAGGTCAGCTTTGGTACCCAAAATAATTCCACCCCAAATGAGCACTTGTGCACCACCGTATTGGTGTTGTTCAATGATGTTTTTTTTTTGATGGTAACGGGTACCTGGAGCTCTCCATATGAAAGTTCAGCGAGAATCAGACTGCAAGCTAAACCTGGACTCGTCGGAAAACATCACACAAGCCCACTGTTGCAGTGTCCACAATGTATGCTCTCTACTCCAGGCTAACCGCAGGTGACAGTGAGTTGCAGTAAGTGGAACGCATCTGACAGGTCTACGAGCATATAGACCAATCTGCTCTAAGCGTCTGTACACGGTCTGCCTTGAAATTGTCGTACCATTGGCTGAAGAGAGCTGAGGCTGTGCTCCGCCTGTTTCTTTTGGCAGTAACTGCCAAATACCGGTCCTCATTCAGCGTTGTAACTCTGGGGCGACCTGTGTTCTAACCTCTACTCACATTACCATCATCTTGGAATCGTTGCCAAAGCCTGGAGATGACACTCTGGGCAATTCCAAGTTCGTCTGATACTTCCAGTTGGGTACGCCCACATTCCAGATGGCCGATAATTCTACCACGTAAAAAATCATCCAAATGCGTCCTTTGTGTCATAACTATTCAGTTATTGCGCTGAAATGCTTATAAAGCGCCTGCGAATAGTTTTACTTCTTTGCCTGTATTCCTTATATATCACTCTCTTACACTCTTGTCATTGTGACGTACCATCGGTGTCATCTGGTTACTTCCTGAAATTTGCATATGATTCATGAAGATGTGTGTAGGGATTTTACAGGTGATATATTTATTTTAGAGTTCGATTTCTGCGTGACTCCGAATTATCCTTAATTTATGGACATGAGTGTATTTATTACTAATACCATCTTTCAAAGCAATCATTCCTAAACATGTACATTTATATTTCTAGGAATCTGCAGTCTTTTTCGATGATAAACGTAGAAGAATAGATTTTGTGTTAGTTTATTCAACAGATCCAACAGAGTTAGCTGCTGAACATGCTAGATGTAGAAGTATCTTTGAAGAAAATTTACGTGAAGAAGGTCTTGATTTGGAACATGTTAATCAGGTCTTTAATATATCATGTAGTTTTTGATTCATGGTTTTAATATCTCAAAATTCATTTTAAACACTTTTTTACTTCTTTATTTTTTCATTAAATTTGCAACCTGTAGAAAGATGAGAGAATGTTAAGATAGTTAGATAAAGCGAAAAAGAAAAATAATCTGAAGTTTGAAAAATGTGTGTATTTTCTTCTATTGCAGTTTTTATGGTTACTTTTTATAATTACATTTTGTTTGCAATTTCCGCAATTCACTGCTAGCTGACGTCATGATCTTTCAAAAGTAAAATATAAATAAAACGAGGAAAAAATCGGAAAGCTTTCAGAGGGCTTTTTTCATTTAAATGCACATACACATTTTGAGAGCATTTGGCTAAAAATATTTATAACACCGTAACTTTAGAATTTCCGATAGACGCTGGATATAAAAAGTGTTTTTTTTTTTCCCTGGTTCCCATTGCTTGCTTTGAAATTGTTGAATTTATTGTTAAAAAAATTCGTTTAACTTTTGCAAAGTATGAAAGAGACAATAAAACAAATTCCAGATTTGGGCTTCCAAGTGCCCATATTCGGGTGGAGGGCTACATTATTCAAAATTTGTTGGCTCAAAATACCATTGTTTTTTCACAATGTGAGAAGCATACATACATACATGTTCATTATTTAATTTCTATAAATGTAATACAGGGTGATAATATTTGATGACAATAATTTGAAAAGTGAAATGGACATGTATAGTGAACCAATGCAAAATGCCATTTAAAGACTAATAGCCCTTCTGGGCTAAAACCCCTTTGAGCTAAAAAAAAATATAGCCATGAGTGAGAACCATGATGCTAGCCATTCATGAGCTTTTTTAAAAATTAAATTGAATAATATATTTTATGTTTGGTTGTTGAATTTGGTTGAATTGCAGTTCAAAAAGCCAATCAATTTCAGAAGTAGAATGTTGGTGTCAGCCTATTCAACACCTTTGAAGGTCTGGCATAAAAATAAAAAAGGGTAATTTTTTTTTTCTTTTTTTTAAAAGGGGGGGGGAAAGCTTTTAAGCATATCAATGAAAACTTTTAACTATATCAATGAAAGCTATTAAATATGTCATTGAAAGCCATTAAACATATCAATAAAAGCTTTTAAACATATCAATGAAAGCTTTTAAATGTAATTAATGAAAGCTTTTAAATGTAATTAATTAAAGCTTTTAAATGTAATTAATTAAAGCTATTAAATGCATCATTGAAAGCTATTAAACATATCAATGAACATTGTTAAATGTATCTTAGAGTATCATATTCAAAAATATCTTAAAGTGTCTACAATGTTTTTTCTTGGCAAAGGGCGCAAAAGTGATTTAATTGAACTTGCGACAAAAATTGGGGAAATGCTTCTACCAGATGCCTTTATGGTTATAATTAAAAATATCATAATTAAGAGTAAAAATTATGATAAAATATTTGTAAAACAAGTCTTTGAATAAATTACTGAAAAAAGACTCAAGAAAGAAGAAAAGGAAAAACTGGAAAAGGAAGATTACAATTAACTGCAGAGTGGGAAAAATAAATACTGTTAGAGTTTCAAAAATTTGAGAAACAAACATTGTTAAAAATTGCAAAATGGAAAAAGCAAAGAAACTTTGAATAGCAAAAACTGAAACTATTAAATGAAAATAATGTTAAAAATGTCAGTAATTATAAACACACGAGGAAACAATAAATGTTTTGATTTGAAAAGCCTTATGCAAAAATTCAATTTAAAGGATGGAGACATACTTTCATTTTTAATAATCTTTGAACACTAAGCCAACGGGGTGGGTTAAATGAACAATATTATGCTCTCATTTGTTAAGACTTTTACCTCTCAAGATTACACAGTTAATCACCAGAGAATCTGAAAAACAAGCTAATGAATATGTATTTGTTAAGAATTTATTATTAAAATGTTTTAAGGCCAGAAATTTGTTAATCATGTTAGGGATTCAAAAAACGGATGGACAGATTTCGTTTTTGAAATTCGTAATTATTTAAATGAATGTTTAGTAGGATTAAAATTAAAGGATTTTCAACTATTTAAAAGAATTAATTATAAGAGACCAGTTAAAAAAATGGATTCTGAATTCTATGTGAGAACATTTTGTTGATTCATAGCCTAAATATGTAAGTGTGAATGAATTAGCTGGAAAATTAGATGAATACAAAAATGTTAGATCTGAAATAAATATAAGCAATGGAATAAAAAGTGATTCTAAGTTATGGCTTTGGAATGATTCTAAAAACATTCTGCAAGTAATGAATTCTCATAAATCGAGAAGAGTCAACACTAATAAATTCAAAAACAGTAATATGATGAGAAGCCATAAATATTATGAAAAAGATAGCTTGCCTATGCATAAATGTAAGGATAATCAAAAATTTATTTGTAATGGTCTGAGTGAACCCAAATGTTTTTCATGTACTTTTTTTGGACATATTTCAAAAGATTCTCCATATCCCTGTAAAATATGTGGATTGAAAAGGCATACGAAGAAGTGTGCTGTAAATACAAAAGAAACTGTAGTAAATATGTGCAACCTTGATGATTCCATAGCAACTGATATGTATTTGAGAAATGATCTAATTAACAGTTCTCGTATGATTTCATTGATTGACATGAGAGCCTTGGCAGCAAAGTCTTGGTTCAGCAGTTGTGGATTTAAAAATTGGTAACATAATAGCAAAATATATTGTGTTATTAATTGTGCCAGATTCAGCTGAGCCAGTAATTTATTGGTTGAACAAACATTCTTAGATTTACAACATATTGCTTATGCTAGGGTTGGTGATACCTTGCATATTGGTAATGCAAAAGATTATCCATTAAAGGGTTAGATTGCATTAAAGAAAATTCATATATTAAATTACAAGTAGATGGAACAATGAAAATAATAAATTATAGCATAAATTCTGTAAAGGTAAAAACTGTAAAGCAAGTATCAAACTGAAAGCATCTTCTGGCAAAATATGAAGTTGATTATACTAATCAAAATTATATTCGAAGCAATGTAACAAAAACAAAGGTTTATAGTTTATACCATTATATTGTAGGCAAGATGTACTATTGAGATAGCTAGAATATGCTAATCTCTTTCATGTTAGAAGCAAAGCTAATTATCCAAAAGCCTTGCATAGAAAAATACCTACTATGTGGCAAAAGCGATTTCCAAATAGAAATGATTTAGCAGATGGCACTAGTTGGGAATTTGATTATGGTCTTGAATTTGACTATGTTGAAGGTAATGTCGCATATGTTCCTGAGGGAAATTTTGAAACAGAGGAAGCTACTGTTTCTGTCAGATCGCAGGAATGATCCAGAAGGAGAGTACAAAAATAGATTTTCTGGAGAAGCACATTTAAACTCTAGGGATGAAAGAAAATATTCATTATCAGAAAGAAATTTTGAGGAATTTGCAAGAGAAAGAAGATTCAGGCAGCCAGAAGAATTTATATATTCAGCCCACACATTGAGTGAAAATAATCCCCAGCAAATGTCATCTTATTTGGAACCCTAGCACTAAGAAATAGAAGATAAAATGCCAGAAAAAGTCAAATTACTCAAGTTGAGAGTAAAGAAAAGTACTTAAAAAGTATTACCTCATCTTGCATCATCTTTAAAGAAGTAAAAGTGTGAATGGCAAATGAGATGACCAAGTTATCAGGGATGAAATCACGGCTAACGAAGACATATCAAGAAAAGCATCACCTTGTATTCTGTCCAAGTTGAGAGAAATAATATGAAGGATGGGAAAGGAAATAAATGAAGCTATAAAACAGAAGCAGAAAAGCTCTTTTGGATTAAGTGATGTGAAGATAGAAAGGCAAGATTTTAGCAAAGATCTAGTCCAGAAAATCCTACTTTAGTTGAAAGTATAGTCAAGTTGTAAGTCGTAGTCAAGTTGAAAGAAATGAGTAAAAAAGGTAGCATAAGAGGTGGAACAATTTATACAGGTAGAAGCAATGAAACATATAAATTCAAAATCCATCAAATGGTGAAAAACTACGGAGAAGATGAATGGCACATCTAGTAAAGATGATGCTTATAAAAGCATACCACCTTATATTCAATAAAGGCTGAGAAGGAATCAACAAATGGCTAAGAAAATGGATAGAATTATAAAGGATGAGCTCATACATTGGGCATATCTTAATAAAAAATATTAAAGTAGATGTGCAAGATGCTATTTATTGGAATGAGCATGAAAAACATCCTAAGGATCATGGTCAAGTGCATGCTGATGGATATGAAAAATGTAAAAGTGAAATATTGGTTTAAAAAAAAAAATTCTGAAAATTTTACTTCTTGTAGAACTTTAAAATTTTGATTATAGCATACAGGAAAAAAATATGTTCTCATGATATCAATATAATATCAATGATATGTGTTTAAATAAAGTGAAATGAAAATGTAATTGTGAGCGAGAAACAATGCTATCTACTCATGAGCTTTTTTAAAATCTGAATTGAATAAAGTATTTTGCTGTTTGATTGTTGATTTTCATTTTGCAGTTTTAAGAAAGCCAATATATTCTACTAAGCAAATATATACTTAAAGATTTGTTAAGAATCATTGGAAGATTTATTTAAGGCCATGCTTATAAAGTATATAAATATTCACATTTAAAAGTCTATTTCATAGTGCAGTTACTTGTAGTTATTGAATAAATAGATGGTAATTGATGGAAAACATTTATTTTTGCACAGTAAAAAGGTAATTTAAGTGGTAACTTGAAATATTATTTAAATTAATGTATTAATTTATTATACATTTAGCATTCCATTTAATGTGTTTCTTAACCTTTTCCAGGGGGCTGGGACATATATGTCCCGCACTTTTACGACTTTAAATGTGTCTCAAGAAATTTCAGTAAACTATGGAGATTTAAAATTTACACCTTAATATGGATTAGGAAGTGCTACACCATGTAGATTTGTTTTTCTGTTCCTTTCATTTAAAATAAGTGACTAAATGGCCATAATACGTTCAAAATTGGCTCCTGTAGCCCACGGGAAAAGGTTTTAAATGAACCATCTGCTGTGAAGTTGTATGTGATAGCTGAAAAGTTAAAGCACATTTAACATAAATAAAATTCGTTACAATTTGGTAATTACTGTGTTAACGCCCCTCCCTCCTCCCCAGAAAATTAACTATAATATTGTGTTTTAAAATTTTTAAGCATAGTTATGCAAATTACATATTTGCTTATTATGCATGAGATAACTTTTCTCTCAAATATGAATTTTAAACCAAAAATTAGTTTATATTGTTTATCTATTTTGTTAAATATGTGTCTTGTGTGTTTATCTTTGTTTTTCCATAATCACTGCTGTAACGATGTCTCATTTTTATACCCAAAATAAATTTGTGAGTTACAATGCTGACTGGTAAAATCCCAATTTAAATTTGGAAGAAGGAGATTTTAACATGATTTCTGGAAAGATGTTGAACTAGATATGAAATCTTTTAATAGTGTATATCTGTGAGTAAGAGACTAAGCTAAAATCAATGGTATTATATTTCCTGCAGCTTGATTTAATTGTTAGATAATGTAAGTGCATTATATCATCTATAAGTTAATGGTGTATTTTACAAAAAAGTATAAATCGCTTTTTCTTTTAATTTTTTATAGAAAGTTTAATAGTCAAAATATTTTCTTTCATAAATATTTGCAGTATCATAGTTTGTAACTTTTTCGTTTTTTTTTATCATGCCTCCCAGCCTCCTAGTATATCACCAAATCTTCTGGTTTTTAATTTTTAGCCTTTGTTAATAAAGATATTTCATAGCAATAAATGAAATTTACTGAATTAATGAAACTTAAGCAAATTTCATTCTCCCACCTCTAGTGATTTTGAGGATAATTTTTCATATTAGCTTTTATTTCATTAGAAGGGTAATTTTTATTATTATATTTTATTATCTTATTAAATTTCACTTGATCTGAGTTGTTTTAACCTACTGTAGACATGTCTAGATGTGATATCAAAATACAAGCAATGTTTTATCAGATAAAATTTGTATTCAATTTTGTTTACTTCAATATATGGTACAGTACTAATTTTAGCCACACAAATAATATATGCATTAATTATTAATTTTTTTCATCTTATTTAAAAGTACTTCAGTAAACAAAAGCTTTTCTTCACTCCTCAGATTTTCTCACTATTGAAGTACAAGAAAACTGAAAAATGAAATTAGCCAAAGAATATAAAATTTAGGATACCCAATGAAATGCTAATATATTTTAGACTAAAATTGAATCACAAATAGTTCAGTAATCTGAATAATGTATTATAAAGTGAACTAAAAATAGTTTAGAGTTTCTTCAAAATAGTGTACAAACACCTCTGTTTCTCCCTGTTTTTTTAAGTTTTTGGGGTTGGCAGCTATTAATTGCATAAGAATAAATTTAATTAAATATTAGCTTTGAAAACATTTCATTTTAATTTTCAAAATTAACAATTAATGCATTGTTCAAATATTTTGGATTCTATATTTAATTTTTTAAAATAAATTTCTGTTGTTTTGATTCTCTTGTTTTCTTGATTTTTGTGCTGAACTGAAATATACATATGGATAAAAAATATCAAATAACATATTAAAACTGGCTGTAAGTATATATCTTAATTGTCAGTATATGAATAGTTTTATGAACTTTTTCTCATTTGTTTATGGGTAATTAAAAATTATGTTTCAGGAAGAGACTGGCTTAGTCTATGTGAAAATCCACTGTCCATGGGAAGTTTTAAGCAGATATGGAGAAATACTGAAATTCAAAATGCCAATGAAAGAGGTACTTTTCTTTTTTAATGCCAATGAAACAAGTGTTTTAGATAATAATTATTTTTCAAGCAAAAGTTCCTATTCATTATAGCAAGAGAAAATTGTTTTGAGACATAGGAAAGTTTAATTACTCCTCTATCCAAAAGGATAGCAGAGGAATGGATGTCTCCATAGAGGGCTTTCTAAAAGACTGACTCGTATTCATGTTACACTTCGGGGAAAGTGACAATGCTCCTACAATAGTCTGTTGGAATTTAAAAATGGATTGAGTTTTTATTTTTGTATTGTTATTTTGTTTTGTATAAAAGTTATAAGTGCATGTTTCATTTGTAAGAGTGCATGTTAAGCCTTCTTCATTTGTAACAAATTTAATTCTTAATGTTCATTAATGTTTCTGACTGTCCATTATGCTTTTCATTTTCAGTTTAAATTAGCATATTTTAGTCTTAAGAAATGCAGTTCCCCCCCCCCACACTGTCTCCGTCCTTTCTTTTTGCCACAAATGCAATAGTTGTACTTTGGATCTTATTCTCTTTGATGTTCAGTGCAATGGAGAAAATCAAACCATCAGTTATCACCTAATTTTAAGCTGTTTTGCAGACTTTTTATTTTTTCCTCCGTCTTTTTCTGCATTCAAAGTGCCATAGTTCAAAATTTCTGTTTTATCCTATTTTTGTATCTGTAGGTTGCAGACCAGTTTTCTGTTTCCAACTATTGCTACTGCTCATTTGCTTTTTAGAATTCTACATTCCCATACATCAGCAACTCCAATAACATCTAGTATCCAAAGGGTTAAAAAAGTAATTGGTTTCTTTTTTACTTTTGATTTATTCTTGAAGTTAAGTTCTAATTTCTGTGGAAAGTTACTCGAAGTGAGGATCATAGTTTATTAATCACAGGCATAAAGTAAAAGTATTTTATTGGAAATTAGTTTAAAATCAGAAATGGTTCATCTCCATCTCTGCTAAACAGTCATTTCTTTGTCTGTGATATCAAGATCTTTTTCCCATTGGTCGCCTCAATATACTCTTTTGGTTTGAAATGCAATGTTTCCATACTCATTTGTGTAGTTGTTAAAATGTCATTTGTATAAGAAGAGCTCTAGACTTGCATCTTCTTTCTGGTACCAATCTGTATTGTCACAATGTCTGTCACATAATTATTTTTATTTGCTTTCTTTTGTATTTATTTGTTTATTTATTTATTTATTTATTTATGTTTTACCTGAACAAGTAAAATGAAAAATCATTGAAAAAATACTTCATATTTTATTTTTGTACAAATAATAAGTCCTTAAATTCTGCAAATTTTAAATTTTTATCTGGATTTTCTTGTAATTAGATAAGATGAATCCTTTAATACTTCTTTCATTACTGCAAACCCTCTTTCAACATCCTGTAGGATTTCTACATTTTTGGATATATATGCAGCAGTTATGGGTTAAGTACATGTACTCAAATGCATTTGTTTAAATATGCATTTGAGTGCATATTTAAACAAATGCATTTGAGTAAATTTTTTTCCTTTCATAAAATTTCTTTTTTCTAATAAAATGCTTCATGTTGTTAATATTAACAGAATAGGCACCTTTTAGTTGTAAAGATAGGCAAACAAACATATTTCACGAATTTACAATGCAAGTCACCAATGAATTGACAACTATTTATAAGTGTGTAATCAGAAAGTTTCTTTTCTTGATTTTATAATAGTATATCTAATAATAGAAAAATCATGGATACCTCATCCATTAACTTTTTAGATTTAAGTTCCTCTTTAAATTCTGTATAAAAAGCATGTTTGTCAATGACATAACTAGGAGAAAGCAAAGGGGGACATCTGTCAACAGGCACAACATCTAGGGGGGTGCCAAATTAATATTTCAAAATTTTAGAATGAAATGTTTTCTATTCTTGGCAAGCAGGAAAGGATGTGGAATCATTATTTGTCCCCGGGCACTGAAAACCCTGGCTATGGCTTTAGTGTTTGTAATAAACATTGAGGGTACTTAAAGAGGTTTAAACATTGTACAACTTCTTTCATGAACAGAAAGAATTCTCTCGCATAATTATACTCAATACAATGCAACATTTAAGTTTAATCAACATTTACTGGGGACATAGCATTATGAATTAAAAATTCTTATTTGGGATAGTCACTAAAGATTTTGATATATCTTCTTTGTCATCCCCTTTATCTTAAAGATTGAGTGAAAATTAGACAAATTCAAGCAGATAATATTTAAAATCGACCAAATAATGCCTGATAGTTCAACTTGACTACCTGTTAACAATCTGCATCATATGAAAATTAACAGAACTTCTAAGAATTAACCATGTTAGCTGTTATTCATAAAATTAACACTGTTTAAAAAAATAATCATGAACCTTCACTTGCTTACTTTATTTATGGTGATGTCAAAATAAATCCTGTAACATATGGCAGACAAACAAAAAGGGATATCATTGTAACCAAGATGGAAAAGGTGATTTTGATTTTTCAACAAAGCTCATTAGTGTTAAAGAAAATTTCATAAAAACGCAATGAATACTAAATGCACATTGAAAAATCTACTGGAATAATTTTTTGTGACTTATATATTGCAAATTGCTGTGATGAGAGGCAACTTTTGTTTGTTTATTCATTGCATGTTTTTGTTTAATATATGTATATGACTATTGCAAGTTTAAAATAAGTTTATATTTTGATTGTTTGATTTTTTTTAGCATATAAAATTAAAATATTTGAGATAAGATATCTAATGCCTTGATTGTTAATTTTTGTAATTGAATGCTAGACAATTAATATTGAAGATAGAACTAACTATGTTATGAGTTTGTTTATTTTCTAACATGTGTGATTTTGTTAATTAACTCATTTTGATTGATTGATTTTTCCTTCATAGAGCTTGTTTGAAATACCAGAAAGACCATCCTCCAATGTAAGCATGGTGATTTTGGTTGTCTTCCACTTATGACTCTAGACTAATGTATAATATGTATCATACCTTTAATTCTCTGGTAAACCAAGTATCTTAAGAAATGTTTAATTTTGTTAATTTCTGTTAGTATAAAATTTAATCTGTCAAATCTTCTTAGTCTTTTCCTCCCCCACACACAAGTCTTATTAATTAAATAAAATTCAACTTTAAATTACAGGCAATAAATTGCATGGAATTTGAAATTTGAGGACATCTGACACTGGTCAATTTTCTACAAAGACCAAATTAATTCATTCTCTGTCTAAAGTTGAATTTTACCTACATATAAATTTCAGCGTGTTTGTATTCCATATCGAAACTTAATGCCCAATTTCTGATTCTCTAAGGTCATTTAATCTTATTATTTTTCATTTCATCTTTTTGTTTGTAATCTCTTGACACTGCAGCTTATTTTAGAGAGTTAATTTATAATTAAATATTTGAAGTTTATTTGTTTTCATAACACCTTTTTTCAAATATTTTGTTTAATCAGGGGATTCCCTTAGCATTTAATTTCCAAGTTATATTATGTATTATCAATAAAATTTAATAATATTTAGTTTTCAGATATTCAATTTTGCCCATAAATTGATTACTTCAGAGTGTCAGTGTAGAGTTGTCTGTTTTGTAATTGAAAATTCCTCTGTCTGTAAATTTCTGAATACAAGAACATAAAATTAGATGAAAAATGCAGTCATTACACATATATTTATCTTAAGGCTGCAGTTAGGATTATTATTTAAAGAACAAACATTCAAAGCTGTTTAATTGGTAGTTTATTATTTCTTTAATATATTTGGAGAAATCTAGTCCTCGTAATATTTCGTAAGCTTAGAAACTGTATTGGTAATTAAATTGAGCTGATTGATTGGAGTTCTAGCTCATTCCTATTTGTTGATTATTACTTTATGATTTATTTACATACTTAATGCATACCTTACATGCCCTTAACATACTTTATATGTAATTTATCCATATTATACATTCATCCACACTGTTTGGTTCTTTTCAATGTAAGAATTAAAATATTAAATTGAAATAAATGACAAGATAATAGTTAAAACCTGAAAAAATAGTTTAAATAAATGTTAGGTTTAATGTACCATTTTAATGTAGTTAAGAAATTTTTAAATCTTAATGTTTGAGAGGAATGATACAGGAAGTGTAAATTAGATTTATACAGTAGAGAGCTTCTCAAACTGTGATCCTCCTAGATTTGCAAAGATGTCCTTTTATTTATAAAGGAAATTAATAAGATTTTATATCATTTCTTGCTGGTGACGTGTATAAGTACACAGATGTATTCTCAAAGCTGAATGAGCTAAAACTCTGTCTACAAGGTAATTATTTGATTATTGTTAATGCCCATGAGAAATTTTAAGAAAAACTTGGTTTGTGAGTTAGTTGTGTAAAACAGAGAAATTTTTCGGGATTTCTCTGTTTTACACAACTAACTCACAAACCAAATTTTTGACTAATGTATAATTCTAAGACTTTCTGAAAATTCTAAGACTTTTCAGAAAGTCTTAGAATCCTTTTAGTAGAAAATTGTGTGGTTATCATAAAAGAATTATGCAATGGCTTCTGTTCGCATCTTGAAACTTTAGTTCAGAATTTGAAACGTAGTTTCCAAATGGTATGTATAATGAATTTTCATATGTTCTTGATCCCTTTCAATTAGGATTTTTAAAATAACTAAATTTCTTTAAATAAAAGAGAATAGTTAGTTCAGCTCTCTGACAACACCAGACTTAAAAATAAAATTCCAAGCAGAAAGTATGGTTAATTTCTAGGCCTCAATACCAGTGAAAATGGAAGTAATGCTTTAAAAAATTATGATTGTTTTCTTCTATGTAAGAAAAGGTTATCTGTGTAATAAAGGGTTTTCTTGGCTAATTCAAATAAAAACAAAAGACCAAAAATGACTTGATTTATGTGCAGATCTTAAACTTTACCAAACATGCATCCAAACAAAAAAACAGCTGTGTAAGAATCAGCAATCTCATACATATTAATTATGTCAATAACAACATTTGATTTTTACTTTAAAAGATAAAGATTATCCAAACTTTAATATCTTTGAATTATTAAAACAAATATAACTTGACTTGATTCAATATAAAATTAAATTAATTTTAATTAATTGTTTTTAAAAAATATAACCATAGTGATAGTATTATATGCTAAAAAATTACTTTTGTAAGAGACAAGAGTAAGGTGGTCTTCAGAACATTCTAAATTGTAGAAGTGGTTTCTACTCTGAATATAATCATAGTATTTGAATGTAGCAGTTTTAATTATAATTAAATTTCACTTTACTCAAGTCTTGGGCAATATATGCAGCTGCTGAGCTAGAATTTGTTGCATATATTGTTTGAACTGCGGTATCATTATTGCTTATGAGGTCACTCCAAGTTACAAGGCTAAAACATATGTATTAAGAGTTTCAATATATTCCAGGGAATCTTCTTTCTAATGTTAATGTTATTGTTTATGGATTCTGGCAAGGCATAGAAAGGCTGTCTGCATAAGGGAGGGATGCCTTTATGGAGGATTTTCTAAGGAAAGCTGTCTTACATCCAAATTGCACATAGGGAAAACTTCAAAAGACCCATGCAATTAACTTCACCTTGAATCCACTTGATTCAAACTACCAAAGTGTAGTGCTCTTATCAGGTAATGCAGTGATGGACACACCTGAGAATGAAATCCACATTATTGTATTTTTTAATGGTTCCTTTTTCTTAAAATTGTGTTTATGCCACTTATTTGGGACTTACCTTCACATCACTGGAACAGTGATTGTGATAAAGCATGGCTCTGAAATCATTCTTAGTGTACAGACTTTGTAACTGTTTCAAAGTAAGTGGGTTTTACCATTATGAAAAATTTTAATTCTGTGGATAAAAAAAGTCATGGAAGATTTTAGAAAAGACAAACTTTGTCAAAGAATTTTTTGCAGAAGCTGGTGTAATTCTATGGACTTCTTTGAACAAAATTTCAACTGCAAAAGGTTTGATTGCAGATTTCAGTAATGGAAAACTGTTCTGTTATTTTGCAAAATAACAGAAGTATACTTTGGATAAAAAAGCATTAAAAGACTAGTGATATTGCAGTTTACAATGTTTACATTTTCATTCAGTGTTACTAAGTAGGGGATTTTCATGATAACATCTTAACATGTAAGATATATTAAATAGGCTATATATGGAGACTGAATGAATTTGTCATATGTTGAAATGATTTACTAGAATTTCATTAAAAAAGAGTACAGCTTTAAAAATTTGTAGACTTATAAATCTGTTATGAAATTGTAGCAGCTTCCATAAAAAGTTTGTCATAATGATCCTTTATTCTTTGTCACAATGGTTTCTCCTTTCTTTCTTTTTTTTTTCTTCTGTAATATAAATATTTTAATAAATGATATACTTCTACCAAAAGCTTATATGTATATATATACAGAGTTGCCAACTCTCCCGATTTAGGCGGGAGACTCCCGACTTTCGACCGGTCTCCCGCCAACCCGATTTACAATATATTTCTCCCGACTTTTTCTTTTTCTTAAAATTTCTCACGATTTTTATGGAATTTGGCTTAATACTTGTTATATGAACAAAAAAAAAAAAAAAAAAAAAAAAAAAAAAAAAAAAAAAAGGATTTTGGACGTCTAAAAGCAATTGAATTTTATCTAGATTATATCTAAAACAAAATCTTGCGAATCAGATGAGAAATTTTTCTGCTTTGTGAGTGAGAGCATACGTATCCAGAAACGTCATTCTCCAGTTTTCCAATGGGCACCGAGCTCCACTGCGTGTCACCTGGCATATATCAGCCAATGAGCACAAAGCAAGCTCAAGGCTGTTATTTGTATGTTCTTTAGTTAATTCGTTCATCTTGTCCTGAGTTGTGTGAGTACACGTGCCTTCAGGAAATAGTTTTAGAAATTATCATCTTTTGTTATCTCTACGAGAAAGGTGAAATACTCGTGTACGTTTCAAAAATCGTACACAGTTTGACTTTTCTTCTATTATTTCCTCAAGGAAATGTAATAAATTTGCGATGTGTACCGTCTGTCGTTGCGATTTTTCGATTTCGCATGGTGGAAGGGTAGATGTTCTCAAACATGTGCATACACAAAAACACAAGGACAACATGAGTTGTTTTAAAAAAAACTAAAAATTTAATTTTTCTTCGGAAAAAAAGGACCAAAAAGTTATTAATGCAGAATGTCTGTTCTCTGCCTTTTTACTGGAGCACAACCTGCCACTGAATGTATCGGATCATGCTGCAGCTTTATTTAGAAAAATGTTTCCTGATAGTGAAATTGCTAAGAAATATTCAAGTTCAAGGACCAAAACACATTGTTGACATTTATTATTATCTTGAGAAGTTCTAAAAGGAAGGGAAAATTGAAACAATTCCAACAGCTGCATAACTAATATTAGTGATGACGCATTAGAAAACTTTTATTAGCGAAAGCAGGCCTACGTAGCAATTGCTATGAACAAAATTATGAAGTTTCTTTCTTAACGAAAGCAAAATCTGCCACTGTTCTTAACATTTGTATAAAAACTGATTAAAGTGTCTTCCCCCCCCCCAAACGATGCAGTGTAAAGTATTTTTGTGTTGCTTTCATTTAAGAATTAGTAACTATTTAAAGTAAATTCATTATTAAAAACTATATTTTTATCATTTAAAAAGTATTTTTAACATTGTGAAAATCTCCTGATTTTTGAGTGTGATAGGTTGGCAAGTATGTATATATATGCACCTCGGTCCCCAAAAGTCCTTACCTGGCCTTTATTTTCATAACCATTAGTCGTAGACATGTAAACCTTGCACAAAAAAAAAAAAGGGACAGTTCTGTATCTCCCATTCTACTGGGCTGATTGACAAAATTTAACTTGCGTTTTCATGCCTTGACAGTGCAACTTAGGACATATATTAGATTTACATATGGT